CGGGAGAAGGGCCGCATCGCTAATTGCGGGGATAAACAATCTGTCACGATCCCTCAGAGCGCCTAATAGGCAGACGAGGATGTTGTTTTTAGGCGCCAGCGGCGGCCCGATCAAAGGCAGCAGCCGGCTCAGGGGCCCTTGAAGTCGCGCCCCCGCCTCCTGGGAGCAAACCTCCTAAGCCCGCAGCCCCCAGCCCTGCCGCCCGCCCCTCGGCTTCGCGAGCCCGTCCCGAACCCCATGGCATCTTTTTAGGTTCGGTCTGGGTTCGTGTCAGCTCTGGCTCGGCGCGGCGGATTAGCGGCAAGCACGCGTTGCAGAGAGAGAAGAGTGTCTGCAGAGGGAAGGGGGTTCAGAGTGGATTCCACGCGGAATCCATGCTCAGATAGCGCGGAGCTCTTCCACTTATCTGCCCCTGGACTACGGAAGAAGATGCCCACGGTCTCAGGGAAGGGAGTCAGAGAAAAGAAACAAAATGTCTATCTGTCCCCCGGGCGTGTTGTTCCCGCGGGAGGAAAGGCACAAGTTTCGGGCAGTGAGGGAGCATTCTCTGCGTTTATTTTTGTCTGGGCCTTTTCGGATTTCCCGGCCGGCGGGTTCCGAGAGCTGACAGGGCCGGGGTGCCGCGCCTGTTATCTCGCCGCCAGCACTAACCCCCAGGCGCTTCTACCCCCGGCATTTCTCCGCGCGGCCGCTGTGGCCAAGAAAGCCCGGCTGTAATTCATGCCTGGCAAGGGCAGGGCTGGCCCGCAGCAGATAAAGCTCGGGGACTGGCGCTGGGCTTCCGTCCTCGCGCGCTCCTCTCCCCTCCCCTCCTCGCCCGCCTTGCTCCATCTCCCTTCACTCTCGGGCATCTTAAAACTCTCCCCGTGCCCCAACAAAGCATCTCAGCATTTTGGCCCCTAAAGACGGTGTGTCCTGCGTCCCCTCACTGGGCAAGTGATGGTGGTGTCCGCCCCCCCAAAAAAACTTCCTATTTTACGGGACTGTGTGGTGCGAGAGGAAGGGTGGTGTTTTTTGACTACCCCCTTGTGGGCAAAGATTCGTTTTGAGAGGGATCCCATCTTAAAGACCCCTGCGACTATCTGGGTATTGCGCACGGGTCAGATGAGCTTGCAGGCGATTCTCTCATTTGGGCATTCGTTGTCGCCTCCCTTGGGTTTTTGTTTACGCCCCTCCCCCCTTTCCCCATGCATTTTGTGGCTTCGACCCAGGAATCCCGCGTGCATTTTTAAACTGTGCAGCTCAGTGGGATCCTTCGGCAATTAGCGAGCCCCAAACAGTCCTCTTTAATAGAATGAATGTGCTATGAAAACCGATTACCCGGAACGATTTATTTTGGTGGGAATTCACCAATCTCCAGGAGGGTGACGGAGGGGGAGAGTGGGGAGGTATTTTGTCCTGAGGGAAGGGGGATTGACGGGTAGACAGAAAGCAGGACCCCGGGATCCCCCAACCTGCGGAGGGGGGCTCCCGACCCCGAGTTCTCCAGTCTTTTGGCCTCTGTAGCCTAGAAGTCAAACAGCTAGGAGTCAGAGGTTTGCGAAACTGTCCCAGAGTCACTGATGGTGTCCTTCGGGAGGGTTTCACAGCTTTCCAGAGAAAGACTCTGAAGAGCTAAGAACTCCAGGAGTCTTCAGCTACTGCCTGAATATCCCAACCAAAAAGCTTTCTGCTTTCCCGGGACGTGGGCAGAACTTAACGCCTTTCAAGAGTTTTGGTACCCTTCTTTAATGCGAAGTCAAAAAAAGCTACCTGTAAAAAAATGTTTTCTCCTTCTTGCTAATTCCCCCGCTTAAATGGGCCCAGCTTGTGCGGTGGAATTGCCCAAGTGCGGTGAATTTCAGCCGGCGCCAGGGAGAAATCCACAAGCCCGACTCCCTGCTTCTTTCCTCTTCCTGCCCTTCCCCCCCCCCCCTTGCTTCTTTCCTCTTGGTCAGGCCAGGGCTTCCTTGTGTCTTTAAATTCGGAAGGGGGTGAGGGGGCCTAGATCCGCGGGGGGAGAGAGGGGCCCCCCTTTCAAATGGCCCAAATTAATGTGATCGCGACATGAGGGTGCACTTGGGGAAGATGAAAGCGGAGGCCGGCCGGCTCCTCCTAGAGCTCTATAATTATAGATAATATATCCCATTTCAAAGCAATTAGACCAATCAGGCGTAACGAACCACTTTGCTGCCGACGAATAACAAAGGCGCAGGGTTATTTAAGCCTGGAGATGTCAGGCAGACCCCGAGGCTCCAGGGGACGACCAAACGTCTTCCATCCTGACTCTGCCCACCCTGGGCCGAGGAAGGTTCACCCTTCTCCCCCCAAGATCTGCCCAGCATCTCAGTTCCGGCTGGGGCCTGGAGGGGTAGGGGGTTGGAAGAAATGGAAGGAAGAGAATTGACTTTTTTTGATCTGGGTGTCAGGGCTCTTGTCAGAGGTTTCACAAACTTTATCCGATTTAATCCTCTCTACCCTGGGAGAGAGGTATTATAGGCTTTTTGTTTTTTTTTAATCCCTTCCAGATGA